GTATGCACGTACCACATTTTGTTTATCCATTCACGGATGGACACTTGGATTGCTTCTGCCTCTTAGCTATTGTGAATGACGCGGTAAGAACCTGCGTACGCAACCATCTGCTCTAGTCCCTGCCTTCAGTTCTCTAACGGACCGGGCCTCTCACTTTCCCCACACCAGTTGAGATCCTGACCCCAGGCATGGACTTCTCTAGGCCAGTCCCTGGTCCCCTGGGCAGCGAAACAGAATCCCAGGCTGGGCTCTCAGGTAGTGTCCACGGGAGATCCTCTGGAGTTGGAAGAACCAGAGCTGAGCTGACAGGGGGCTCAAGAGCTTGTTTCTGACCCTTCCTAATGGGGAGCGCAACAGAGACAACGTGGCAAGAAGCAAAGGAGAGCGGGGCGTCCCCTCAGCCTCAGAGGCGGAGACACATACCACTGCAGGGAGCAGGACAAGGGAGGCCTCTGTTCGCCTAAAGGGCAGGCATGCCGCAGAGGCGGCCCCTGGGGCTCCAAAGGGCATCGGGGGCTACAGGGGCAGAGGTTACGAAAAGGGAGAGGGTGCTGAGACTGGTGCTATTCAGAAGACCTCGGTTAGAGGGCTCCATGGAGAGCGGGGCGGAGGAGTCTGGAATGCTCTAATTTGACAGATGGTCCCAGCTCAGCCAACTCCTGAAGCAGAAGAGGCACAAAAGCAGAAACTCAAAGGGCTGGGGGTTCATGGTACATCCTGGTCTAGAGCCTGAGCCTTCAGGGCCATGTGCTTTCTTGCTCTGGGGTGCGCAGCCTACAGCTGGGGCAGAGGCTGGGTCTGACCACCTGGGAGTCCCTCTCACTGTCTGCCTAAGCAGCTTTCAACTGGTTACATGATATTTTTTGCTGCCGAAGCGTCTAGGTTCAGGTACCAAATGATGACAGTCTAGGGAGGGTGCAGCCACTAGGAGGGAAATTAATTCCTTCTGTGGAACTCTGAACATCCGAAAGCATTATAAAGAGGAATTAAATACACCACCTCAATGCCACAACCAAGGCACCAGCTTGAGGCTCTCATTCCCACCCAGACCAAACTCAGGGGCACTGTGGATGTCCTATCAGCCAAGGAAGGCTGTCAGCGAGGGAGACAGCTTCAGACTCTTCCCTTCGGTGACTCCAACCCAAGGAGCAGCCTGATTTGATGCGGATGTTCCTGGAACCCTCCCAAGCTAACCAGCGCTGTCTGAAGGACCCGGGAGCAAGCTGTCCCCTCAGACCTAGAGCCTGTCTCAGTCTGAAGCCACTGTCCTGGACTGTTCTGGGATCCCAAGAGCAGTGAGGTCAGCCTGGCCGTGGCCACAGGGACTGAGATCTGAGGCCAGTTCATGGTGCCGAGGAGCCTGTTGGTTCAGCTTTTTACTAATGCTGGAGGCTGAGCCAAAGACGGCCTGATGCCGCCACACCCTAGTGATGCAACGTCCCACCAGCATCTCCCCTGCAGCTGGGCTCCAGGCACTAAGAGTCTCAGGAGCTCAGCGCACCAGTCTCCACCCTGCATCCCAGACTGACCCGGCTGAAGGAAGATTCCATCCGCACTGAGATCCCACAGGAGACCGAAGGCTCCCAAAGATGTTTCTGGAGGCCAAGTCAGCAGCTAGGTGGAAAAACAAAAACAAAAACAAAAACACAAAAACCGGTTAGCTGGGTCATTCCTAAAAAGCAATTGTAGCAACTTCCACGACTTCACATTAAATAAATCCCATTTAATCCCCGTAAGTCCATGAGGTAGGACACTGTCACTGTTGCCAATTGAAAGATGGAAAACCAAGCTCAAAGAGGTCAAACGACCTCCCCAGAGTCACACAGCCCGTGAGCAGCAAAGCCAGCCCCCAGGCCCGGACCCCCGGGTCTGTGTCACCTGAAACCTCCTACTCCGTCCACCTCCCGGCATGGGGGTCTTGGTGTCCCTGCCCCTCGCTCCCTGTGGTCACAGCCATGGCCCTCCAGGGCAGGACCCAGTGTAAGGGACAGAGAGCCTGCACTGATCACAGGCGGCAGGACAATCACAGGGTGGGTCCTCTCTGTGATCCGTGAATCACTTCCAGGTCAGCGCCTTAACTCACTGTCATCTGAGACCACCAGGTTGGAAGGTCCTTCCAACGTACCAAACACAGGTCCTCAAACAAGGGTGGGGTGGTCATTTCTGGGATCCTTATCTGAATATTCCTGGAGCCTGATGGTTAGAAGCTGGGGTTTGGGAACATGCAGAGAGGCTGACAAGGGAATGAGCAATGGGACAGCAGCAGCCCACAGGTGCCATCTGGTCTAGGGGCACTCAGCAAGCTCCCGACCGTGGCCGCCACGCTGTGCACGACATCGTTCCTCCCCAGTACCCAGGGAAGTCTGCCTTGTGGGCACTGTGGGCACATCTCCTTTCAGGACTGAGGCTCTTGTTCCCCTGGGGGCTCGGCACTGTTGCTGCCAGGGCCCTGAGCCCAGGGCCCTCTGAGCCTTGACTGTGGAGGAAGCGCCTAGTCCGGGGTCACAGCCCTCACCAAGTGTCTGTGTGATAACTGGCCAAGGCTGGAGACCTCGCCCCAACTGGGTCAACCCTAAGGTTGCCGGGCTCCAGAGCCCAGTGGGACTGCATAGGGCCACACGCTCTCCCCCCTCACAGGGTGGTTCCAAGCACGCCCCCAGGAAGCCTGTGTGGACACCCCCTGCTTGGTGTCTAGAACTCTGCCCTTCTCCTCCTGCCATAACCTCTTACATTTTCTTGGCTGAACGCTTGAGTCTCTCCCAATAAGAACATACGTTCACTGAGGGTGTACACCTCCTGCGGATGTCCTCTCTCCCGGCAAGGCTGGCCCACACGAGGGCACAGTTCAGCCAGTCCCATGCACACCCTATTCAAGCCCCTGGGAGGAGTACACGGGACCGAGTCCCTGAGAGAACTCAGGCTGTCCTTTCCAAGAACGTCGAAGGAGCCGGGTTGGAGCAGTCTGACCACCTCACCCCACCCTGGTTCAGGAGGGACCCCAGGTACAGGCGTGGACCCGGCAGCCCTGGGACCCCACTTCCCTAGCTGCCTTTGACTGGACAAGGGGACCACTTAACCCCTCTTAGCCTAACCAGATTCTCCTTCCTGAGGAACCAGATTTGGGAACAGGGTCTGGCCTTACTTGGCCATGGAGCCTGTGGGGAGACAGCAGCAGAGGCCAGTCCTGGGATCCCAACCCTTCCCCATCCCTGGGTCCAGCTCCTCCTGGGGCCCAGGACGCCCCCACCCCGGGACCTCAGGAACCACCCTCGCACCTGCGGAAGGAGCCCTCATGGGTTTTCCGCCTCCCACAACCACAGTCCCCAGTAACTGCTCGAGGTTCTACGTCCCGAGGACACTGCCCAGAAGGCCCCCCAAAGCCAGGACGCCCCTTTCATGGATCTAGATTCAGCCATGGGGGGTGGGAGATTTGTTTCTCCTTCTTGCAAAATGTGAACTGGACTCTGCACTAACAGCGTGCCTTGCAGGACACCCAGGCCCAGAGCAGAGCTCTGCAGGGGCACCAGGACAAGGCAGCTCATGGGATGTCCTACTTCCCTCCACGTGGGCCCCTCGGGCCTGGCTCCGACACACAGAGCTGATGCTAAGAAACCCACCCATGGCAACACAGGAGTAGGTGGCAGGGCCAGAACTCACACCAGGTCTGTCTGTCTGACCTCAGGGCTGGGTCCTGAATTCCTCTCCCCTCCAGCCCCCTCCCAGCATGATGGAGACAGGGAAAGAGACAGGGGAGGGCTCGCCTGTGCCTCCCAGGATGGGGGTCTCTGAACCCAGAGGCAACTGACACGCCCCCGGGAAGGCACTCCACGCCGTGACAGGGTCACGCAGGGCCCCTCTGTGGGCGCCATCTCAGATGGGTCCTTTGTGGCTCCCAATGCTCAATTGTGTGTTCCGTCATACACTGTGCAAGGAGCAGGGGCTGCAGCGGCCGGCGTGGGGAATAATGGCCCCACTGTTCCCCGTTACTCACCCACTGCTCCTTCTGGGCCTTGGGTGGGGGACTGGGGGCTGGCAAGGTTAGCAGCTACACACCAGGGCCCCAGAAGCTGCATGTCTTCCTCCGCCGGGGTAGGGAGGAGCAAGGTGAAGGCCCCAGAGCATGAAGGGAGAGCTGGGGGGCTCTCTCTGGACTGCAGCCAGCCTGCCGAGGCCGAGCCGCTCCTGGAATAATCCACCCCACATGATGGCTCTGATTTACAGCTGGGGTCCAGGCTCCAACTGGCAGGAATGGGACCAGCTGGAACTTGTGACCCGCCTGTCCCCAGACAGGGATGATTCCGGGTGGGGCCAAGGCCAGGACGGCATCCTCATGCCTGGCATTCAGATCACAGTGGCTGGCTCCTGGGCTATCCCTGCTGGCTTCTCACTGCCTGTCTCTGTGCAAAGGTGTCAAGCCCTGGGCAAAATGCACGTTCCCCTATGGCAAAACGTTCTAGCAGCAACCAGGAAGGAAAAACGGGGCAGCCAGGACAGCTGTTCCAGGCTTTCCCAGCCAACCTACGACTGTACACGGGAAGCACACGCTCTAACACCCGAGCACCCTCGGCTCCAAACCCACGAGGGCCCACACTTCAGGCGCTGCAGGACTGCCGTGGGCCCTGAGCGGCCCTCCCGCTGCTTATGGGATGAGGGACCTGTGACCGCTGGTGAAGAAATTAGCTTTGTCGTATAGGAGCACTTGTTGACGGGCTTGGACCGATTCATTGAGAGGTTAGACAGTAAGTCCATTGGGTACACCAGGTCCCTCAGGAAAGCCACGCTGAGGGCACAGGCAGCACCCAGAGACACATCCTCGAGGGAAGCAGAGGCTCCCAGTGCTCGCCGCTCTGGGAGACCACAGGCGAACCCCCTGCACCTCCCTGACCTTGGCATTCTTAGCACTATGGTGGGGATCGATGCCCAATCAGCTCTCCTCCCTCCTCCCAGCCTGAGCCCAGCCAAGCAGCACCTAAGGCAAGAGGTGAAGTGCCCACCCCTCGGCCTGCGGGCCTGCCAGGCCACCAGACTGCAGCGCTCCCGCCACCTAGTGGCAGGCCCGCGTCCTCACCTGGAACAGCCACTGGAGCAGAGGCACTGGGCAGTCAGGCACGTGCAGGTAGAGGGTGCTCAGGAGGCCGCTGTGCAGGAAGGACAGCTGTTGGGCCGGCGGGGAGCTGGGGGCAGAGGACTGAGGTTAGGGGAGGCCTCTGTGCCGGCACACTTGTCTCGTCACTGCGGGAGGCTGTCACTACCCAGCTTCACTGCCTGTTGGGAAGCAAATCTGTAACACTACAGACAAATGTGCTTTTCGAGCCCTCAATGCACGGATCTGTCAGAAGGAAAAGAACCCAGGTGAGCATCAGAATCACCTGCTCTTCTTGCATGTTGCATGAACACACCTCACGGCGTTTAAAATACACGGCAGATAGCTGGATGCCGTGGCTCACGCCCGTAATCCCAGCACTTTGGGAGGCAAAGGCGGGTGGATCACTAAGTCAGGAGTTCAAGACGAGCCTGGCCAATATGGTGAAACCCTGTCTCTACTAAAAATACAAAAATTAGCCAGGCATGGTGGCGTGCACCTGTAATCCCAGCTACTCGGGAAGCTGAGGCAGGAGAATTGCTTGAACCTGGGAGGCAGAGGTTACAGTGAGCCAAGATCGAGCCACTGCACTCCAGCCTGGGCAACAGGGCAAGACTCCGTCTCGAACAAACAAACAAAACACGGTAGGGCAGTGCAGTCTGCCCTTTCCATTTGGCCACAGGGGAAGGTGGGATATTTGCCAGGGGTGTGGAAAGGTGAGGAGTGAGGCCAGGAGTGGGTGTCTTAGCCTCGGTTTCCTCCAGCTGCAAGGGACGGGCAGGATTACCCCTACGAGGCCAGCGTCTCGAGATCCGGTTACACAGGGCGTTTCTGCTCTGCCTTATGTTTTTCAGACACAAAAGGGACACCTGAGAAGACGGGAAAATAACAGAAAGGGGCCCGGGATGAAGACATTCTGGGAAGGAAATACCAAACAAGAGTTCCATAGAGGATTCTTCAAAAACCATGTGAGCCGCAAGTGTCCCAGATTCCAGGGATGGAGGCGTGCTCAGACCAGCCACGCGGCTGTGGCCGTGACCGTGTGCCCATCCATGCTACCCCCTCGGGCCTCTTTCTCCTAACAGGAGCTCTCAGAATCAGCGCTGGCGTGGAGATGAGCCCTGCCTCGGGGACCGCTGACCTGGTAGATCACTTTGACCTACAAGATTCCAGGTCTCCGCAAAATGAGTTGTTGCAATGTTTCGTATGGTTGTAGGGCCTCTGGTAGGAAGTGCTTCAGAAGTTATTTTGTAGGAGGTTGGCTGGACTTTGTCACCGTTCCTGAGCTCCCAGTCATCCCCAGAGAGCCTGGGTTTGGGGTAGGAGTCTCCTACGTCCTGTGCATTTTGTGACCACCATCTTTGCTTGCTCTCTCTAGACCACATCCCAAAGATAAGTAACATGGATTCCAGGAAATGAAAACGTTAAGTTCACGTTTGTTTTTCTTTTTAACGGCCCAAATGCACGCAAAGAACATTTCAGAAAGTACTTAACGTTGCCATCCTAGATAAAAAGTTTTCCAGTTTTTCAGTCAGCCCAACCTCCTCCTTCTCCTTTAAAAAGGACATCATACTATAATCTGCCAGGAACAGAATGCTACAAAACAAAGATTATCCTCTGGGCCAAGCTGCTGTCTCTCTGAGAATGTCCAGGCAATTTACAAATTGCATGTTTTTTCTCTAAGTCATTTAAGTTCAGAGGAGAAAGCAGCTTTGTTCCTGTGGTGGTGAAGTTTACCGCCCTGAAATAGACCTTCGTTTGTACATACAAACACGTGTGCACCCCAGGACTGCTGGCATGCTCCACGCTATCCACGTGCCCAGTCACATGGAGACGTTCATGGACTGACCCCAACAAGACGCGTGTGGTTCAAGAACATGCACAGCAGCCTGAACGCAGACAATACCCATGTAAACAACGTCTGGAGGACCTTGCGAATTGGCAGAACCCCGACAACGGCCATGTGGTGAGGAGGCTGGCGCTTCAGGGACTCTAAGGAGACGCTGGCTCTGGCATTCTGCTGGAGGGGGCACCCCGCCAGTTTCTTAGTGGGAGAATTGATTGTACAAGGCCCTGTTGGCTCAGATCAACACATTTCTAACCGCTGCTCCAAGGGAGAGACCCCACAGTTGCTACGTCTCCCTTCTGCTACATGGGCCTTGCAGTTCCTGCCAGAGGAATGACGGATTGGCCTCTGAGTTCACTGCTGCTGAGAAAATTCTGACTATGGGACCGGGAGCAAGAGAAAGCCAGAAAGGACATAGGCCTGCTCTGCCCTGGGATGACTGGCTTTCAAGGAATTCTGTGTTTAGGGTTAGAGGCAAGGACTCCCTTCTGCAGGCTGAATGCACGCTCGGCGGGCAGGGAGTGCTGCTTCGCCCTGGCTCAGCCACAGGCCTCCCACGTCCTTCAGGGTGCCCCAGGGTGACCTCGAGCTTGGCTGCTGGGCAGGGAATGGGCCTCGTGTACAGACAATGCCCTGACTCTGGGGAAGGAAGCAGGGTCCCAACAGCAGCACCTGGGCTGGGAAGCCTGGAGGAAAAGGGAAAAAGGAAAGGGGGTGGGAGGTGTGTGTGGTGAAAGCTCAAACGCCTTGGGTGACGGAATTGGCTGTTGTCAGAGTCATGTCCCCACATCAAGAACAGAGAGGCTGGGTCCAAGGCGGTGCCTTTGTCCACGGCCAAGCCAATGCTGAGGTCAGAAGTTATCCTGAGAATGCTGGAGGACCCTGGAGGGAGAGAAGGAGGGACAGAGCCTCCGTCGGCAGCAGATGCTGCACGGGCCTGGCTGAGTGGGAAGCCCCCAGCTGTCAGCCCTGAGGATCCCATGAAGGGAGGTTCCCATCAGAGTCCTCAGCTGTGATTGGAGATGAGGAGGGAGCAGTCAGAGTCAACACTGGTAATCCCCAGCCACAACCGCAATGACAGCGAGCAGGTGCCTGCCTCCACCCTCACTGCCCACTGGAGCAGAAGGAAGCAAGGGGAGGACATCAGCTACAACTGGGAAACCCACAAAACCAGTGACAGCAAATGGGGGCAGCTGGGCTCCGCACACGGGGCTTTCCGAGCAGAGCTCTGACCAGCTTCATCTTGGAATTTCTGTTCCTCATCACACCCAAGGGAAGATTCTTCCCGCCTCAACCTCCTCATTTATTTTATGGGCAGCAGTCCCAGAGGGCAAGGTCTCTGAATGCCTTGAGAATCCCAAGTGATGACCAAAGGATAAACAGCAAGTGTAGTTATATTTATAAGTATCAGCTACTGGGCCTTTGCCAAATTACTCAGATCAGTCTGAATAAAATGCCTAAATACAACAGAGACCAACAGCAACCAAAGCTTTCACCTATGGCCTTTTTCTTTCTTTCTTTTTTTCCTTTGTTTAAACATGAGAGGGCCGGGCGCAGTGGCTCACGCCTGTAATCCCAGCACTTCGGGAGGCCGAGGCGGGTGGATCACCTGAGATCGGGAGTTCGAGACCAGCCTGACCAACATGGAGAAACCCCATCTCTACTAAAAATACAAAATTAGCTAGGCATGGTGGCACATGCCTATAATCCCAGCTACTAGGGAGGCTATGGCAGAAGAATTGCTTGAACCTGGGAGGCGGAGGTTGTGGTGAGCCGAGATTGTGCCATTGCACTCCAGCCTGGGCAACAAGAGTGAAACTCCGCCTCAAAAATAAATAAATAAAAAATAAGAGAGGCCAGATGCAGTGGCTCATGTCTACAATCTCAGAACTTTGAAAGGCCCAGGCAGGAGGATAGCTTGAGGCCAGGAATTCGAGACCAGCCTGGGCAACAAAGTGAGACCCTGTCTCTAAAAAAATACAAATTAGCTGAGCACGGTAGTGCACACCTGTGATCCCAACTACTCGGGAGGCTGAGGCAAGAGGACCTCTTGAGTCACGACTTGCAGGCTGCGGTGAGCTGTAATCGTACTACCGCACTCCAGCATGGGCAGAAGAACATGGGCCTGACTAAAATCAAGAAAAAAATGAAATAAAAATAAGCGAGTGTTGTCCGGGTGCGGTGGCTCATGCCTGTAATCCCAGCACTTTGGGAGGCCGAAGGAGGTGGATCACCTGAGGTCAGAAGTTCAAGACCAGCCTGGTCAATGTGGTGAAACCCCATCTCTACTAAATACACAAAAATTAGCAGTGCGAGGCTGGGTGCGGTGGCTCACGCCTGTAATCCCAGCACTTCGGGAGGCCAAGGCCGAAGGATCGTGAGGTCAGGAGATCAAGACCATCCTGGCTAACACCATGAAACCCCGTCTCTACTAAAAAATACAAAAAAAAATTAGCCAGGCGTGGTGGTGGGCACCTGTAGTCCCAGCTACTCGGGAGGCTAGGGCAGGAGAATGGCGTGAACCCGGGAGGCAGAGTTTGCAGTGAGCCGAGATCACACCACTGCACTCCAGCCTGGGCGACAGGGCAAGACTCTGTCTCAAAAAAAAGGAAAGAAAAAAAAATTAGCCGTGTGTGGTGGCATGCGCCTATAATCCCAGCTACTTAGGAGGCTGAGGCAGGAGAATCACTTGAACCTCAGGCAGAGGTTGCAATGAGCCGAGATTGCACCATTGTGCTCCAGCCTGGGCAACAAGAGCAAAACTGCGTTCCAAAATAAATAAATAAATAAGCGAGCGTTACGACAGGCAGAAACTCAGGGATCCCATAACGGCCCTGCTTGCTACCTCCACTTGCTCTTTATTTTGGGGGACAGATGCAGCCAGCTGGAAGGCTCAGCCTTCTCCACACTTCAGAACTGCTGGATTTATTGCACCTGGGCTTCAACCCTGGCCTCTTCCTCCAGGAAGAGAAGCTAGTGACAAACAAGAGGTGGGGCTGCCGGGCCTCCGGCAGAAGCTCAGCCTCATCCACCTCCTTCCCTTGACTGCTGGATATTCACGGAGGAATGCCCTGGCTCATGCATCGGGCTTCTGGAAAGCATGCTGGTCCTCGCATCAATAGTGGCAGATGCAACCAAAGGACAAACGGGGACCCCAAAGTCCTTGCAAATACTGTGGGGGGCCTATGACTAACTGAGTAGGGCAGACAAACTCCACCCTTCCAACTTCCGACCCTGAGTGGGATGTGGGCTTTGGTCCTGACACTTTTCCATGTGGGAGCGTTGGATTTCCTTTTGAATTACTGTCAAGGGAAGAAGAAAAAAGTTCAGCTCCTGCAATCAGCTGGTATCAGCTTCCGTCATAATGACATGTGACTCTGGTGGCAGGGGACTGACCCCGGGATGCACAGCTAGCTTGGTGATGGATGAGGGCGTCATCTGGACCACATGCACTCCCAAGGCAGGCTCCCCGGGAAGAAGGTTCTTGCACATCAACCTGGAGAGATGCAACAGGACAGCTGCTGGGATGCAGAGGCCAAGCCCACCCATGCAATCTGAAACAAACTGCTTAATTTGCGCTGTTGCCTACTTTGTTCAGAGGGAAGAAAGGTATTTTCCCCCTTTCACGGAAAGGTAAGGAGAAGTGAATCTATTTCAAGAGCTGATTTTTTGGCCGGGTGTGGTGGCTCAAGCCTATAATCCCCAGCACTTTGGGAGGCCGAGACGGGCAGATCACAAGGTCAGGAGATCGAGACCATCCTGGCTAACATGCTGAAACCCCGTCTCTACTAAAAAATACAAAAAACTAGCCGGGTGAGGTGGCGGGTACCTATAGTCCCAGCTACTCGGGAGGCTGAGGCAGGAGAATGGCATAAACCCGGGAGTGGACGTTGGCAGTGAGCTGAGATCCGGCCATGCACCTCAGCCGGGCAACCAGAGCGGCGACTCCGTTCAAAAAAAAAAAAAAAAAAAAAAAAAAAGAGCTTATTAAAAAAAATTGGCATGATTCCCCCCATTCTAATGATAAAAATGTCTACGGTTCCATTGTAGGGAAGTGGAAATGACGGGTGGTATAACGAGGAAAGAAAAACTATGCTGTCAAGCTCACACAGGTCAGAACTTTCTCCGCAAGTACTAACCAGCAGGCCTGGCCCAGCTCTGAGGATTGAGAGAACGTTCCAGCATGTTCACGGCGCTGATGGGCAAGTACCACAGCGGCACAACTGGGCGTATGGATTGGCTGACGGTTTTTTATTTTATCATAATTTTGATCAATGGTCTCACTCTGTTGCCAGGCTGGAGTGCACCGGCATGGATTCACAGACTACTGCAGTCCCGTACTCCTAGCTGTCCTTCGCCGGCCAAGTGCTGGGACCACAGGCGGTGCTAATATTTTTTGGCATTTTGGGTAGAAGATGGGTTCCTATGGTTGGCCAGGCCGGTCTAGAAAGCCTGAGCTTCAACGATCTCAAAGGCCTTGGATTACAGGCATGAGCCACCGTGGCCGGGGCTGACTGGCTTAAGAGATCCTTGTCACCACCACGGCCACACTTTCTGGCTGAATACAGTCACATTATTGGAACGACTGCAGTGTTTTCCCACTTAGTTTCAGTTGGGCCTTAGTCAGTCTGCCTTGGAAGTCTTGGGGGCCAAAGCAGAAATGAAAGAGACCCAGGGCTTAAATGGCGGACCTCCAGGAAGTGGCCTCCCACTTGCCCGGCAGAGGGTCACCAGGACTGAGTCAGAGCCACACAGCGCATTTCCCTCCAGAAAGTAAGCAGCTTCTACGGCTGCAGATTCCTCATGTGGCTGGGGACCTTCGTTACGGATGCCCATAGGCATATCTCAGGGAGGAGGTCTGAGCCCCTCCACTCCAGGGAAGCGGGCAGCCAACTGCCCATTTGGGCAGGCCTGCTCTGATTCCCAGTCACCGTCCACGGACATCCTCATTGTCAACACTTCCTGCCTGCCATCCACCTCTAGAACGGGAACCTGCTTTCCGGTCACACACTGAAGCGGCCCAGGAGCGGGCTTCCTTTCTCGCTGCCCTCGGTTCCTGAGCCCAGCCCATTCTCGGCTCCTCCCTTTTCAAGCTCTTCTTCTTTTTCTTTTTCACCACATATATCTCTCTATTAAATACCTTTCCAACATGGTGATGTGAACCCTCACGTTCTTACACTCAGACCCAATAAACTCACACTGCCCTTTCCAACATGGTGACGTGAGCCCTCACGTTCTTACAATCAGACCCAATGACCTCCAACTGCAGCTATGAACACACTTTAGACCTCCAGACAAATACTCCCCAATATTCCCCACCGTATGATTTATAATAGAGTTGGAAAAAACTTCTATGTTCAAAAAACGAGAAAAATGGTTAAATACGTTAGGGCATCAACGTAATAAAGTATTATTTCATTATTAACATTTTATCTAATTGCAATGTTTGGACGTTGTTCAGATTCTGATTTGAAGAATCTATAATCTATAAAAAAAACACTCTAAAGAAAATGAACCGCTCAAGGTGCAGTGGTTTCAACGTCTGTAATACCCAGCACTTTGGAGGCTGAGGCAGGAGAACTCACTTGAGCCAGGGCAACAGTGGCAAGACTACCCCATCTCTCAAA